TCTGACATACTGAGGTCTGCTGGTGAGGTAGTCTGTGATCCAGGCCACCAGGCTGTGATCCACCTGCATCACTGACAGCTTCTCAGCCAGCAGCTGTGGCTGGATCGTGTTGAAGGCGCTGGAGAAGTCGAAGAACAGGATTCTTAGTGAGCTGTGCGGCTCCTCCTGCTGCGTGTGGGCTCTGTGGATCATGTAGGTGATAGCATCCTCTCCACCAATGTTTTCCTGTTAGGCAAACTGTAGAGCAGGGGTGAGGAACCTTTTTCCTCTCAAGGGCCATTTACATTTACCGTACAAATTATTGACCTCTGCTTAAAAATACTCAAATCACAGCCCATTCATTTCTTCTTTCTGTCATGCTGTGCAAAGAAAAAGAAACCTCTGAATCCAGATATCGTACCATGACTCGCGCACGGTGTGGCATGCATGCACGTGCACGGTGTGGCATGACCACCACAACAGAAAGATATGGACACAAGATGTGTGCAAATGTATTTAGTTTCCTATCCATGTGAACATGATTTAAGTGGGGGGGGGTTCCTCACCTCCTCTAGGGGGGTCCTCACCTCCTCTAGGGGGGTCCGGGGGCATGCTCCACCGGGAAGATTTATTTTTAACCTGTTAAGCACCAAGCCTGTTTTTCATGTTTCAGGCTCGAAAATGACATGCCCAAAACAAATGACTACAACTTAACTTCTAAAAGGGTTATATGAATAATGTATTTTATCAAAGCAAGGTTACATCTGTGAGTTGGATGTAGAAGTGTCAGAATCAATATAAATGTTTTTTATTTTAAAGAAAATTCAGATTTTACATAGTAGAAAACTGTAAATTATAGTGTCCGTCCAAAAATTATTTTGTACAGATAGTGAAAACTACCCTTGGATGATGGGTTAGTAGACTAAAAGCTTTAGGAATCCAAAGTACAACATATAATAAGTACCCTGTATCAAGATTGATGCAAAACAAGTGACATTTGACCTTTTTAGAGAGATTTAGCCAAAACCACCCCACCTCTGAGGTGATTTGGGTGAAAATGTTTTTTTTTCCATATCTCTGGCCCCCCTTGCTCGATTTTGATGGTTGACACCTCTTTCTGACCGTTAGAGCCAATAGAATCGAAGGGGGAGGCCCCCACAAACACACATTGTGAAGAGAAAAGGTGGGGGCTGCGCGCATGTAAATGTGAAGCAGAGTGAAGCTATTTCTAGCTCTGGCATTTGGAAACGAAAAAGCAGTTTTATTGCTTATGGATTATCAGAAATAATTTCAAAGAGGACACAGACACATTGGATGAACCTATGGATTAACTGCAGCATCGTTTTTTTATCGTTTTAATGCCATTGAAGACCAGTTTTGACCAAGGTAAGCCATGTTAGCGTTTCTAGCTACCTAGCTCCACATGTTATGATGTACGCTTTCGTTTATAGCGTCGCAAATGTTTATCACTGAGTGTTGAGGTGGGCACCACTAGATTCAGTGTCTCCAGGACACCAAAAACGAGTGGTTGGCTGTGCATCTAGGATAAGTAATAAGGGAGTTATTGTGAGTTTAAGTGCCATTTTAGGTTACATTTTTTCGCTCGTGGCTAATTCAGAGGCTGAGTGCTAGCATTGTGGGTTTTTTTTAGATTTTTTTTTTAAAAAGATCAGTTAGCTGAGTTTCTTCCCGTTACATGGATATAAAACATTCATAGTTTTATTAAATATTAAGATTCCTTAGACGTTGTTTCCTGCAAATGACGCGTTTATCCGCCCGGTACCGGGCGGATGGTGCGTAACAGGTTAAATGTTGAAGTTCAAAGCATCAATCTGGTGCACTTTGAGAGCAACATCAGGAGATCTATGGATACATCTCTCAACACCTATAACATATGAAACAGAACTGTAAGCAGATTTCTTTATGGATATTTTACAAATCACTCTCCTTTCAAACTGTATTCTTGTTTATTAATAAAAAAAAAAATTCTACTGTCATATAGTATTTTATACCCGTTTATTCTCTTATTTTTGTATAACTATAATGATCATATAAAGATGTGCCTTTACCTCACTGGTTGTAGAAAAAGCTTCTTATATCCGTTAGCATAGCTAGCTAACCAGATGCTAATGACAGCAAAGTGATTGACTGTATGATCAGTGTGACAGATGAGCAGATCTCCACTGGGCTTTCAACTAAAGACACAGCCACGCAGAAACTGCGGCATGTGTACGGAGCGGCGTTCTGGTGCTCTCCGGCAGACCTGCACCCCTGTCAGACGAGACATATACCACGTGATGACACGTTAGGCTCGTGTTGTGTTCAAGGACCCTGACCTAACCCAGGAAAAACAGGCACTCGCTTGTTTAATTATTTTGCGGTCTAGATTTCTTTAATTTTTTTCCCCACCCCTGCTGTAGAGGGTCCATGGAGTCACACACGAGGGGTTTGAGGTGCTGCAGAATGAGTCTCTCAAAGATCTTCATGACGTGTGAAGTCAGAGCAACAGGTCTGTAGTCTCCTGGAGTGCTGGGGCGTGTCTTTTTGGGCACCGGGACAATGCAGGAGGTCTTCCAGATGTCCGGCACCTTCATCAGCTTCAAGGACAGACTGAAGAGGTGCTGAAAAACTCCTGCTAATTGACCGGCACACGCCAAGTCTGCATCTTTCAGGAAGACCATGGTTTTATGAAGAACAACGCTCCGTCACAGGCATCAAAGTACTCCTCTGTGTGGTTCACCAGTAAAGGCCTTAAAGATGAAACAATAATGACATGGCCCTCTTCCTCACCTTAACCTTAACCCTTCTTAAACGGGAGGTTTACGGTGAAGGGAGACAGCTCACCTCTCTGAACAGAGTCTGGGAGGCTGTGGTTGATCGTCAACAGATCAAGAAACTGACAGACTCCATGAATGGAAGTCTTGTGACTGTTATTGAAGAGAAGCGTGGCTATATTAGCATCTGGTCATGTTTTGAAATGTCAGAAATGTTATTTTATTTACATTTTGAGTTGTTTGTTTACTATTCTCCCTTTAACAGATGAAAGTGAGATGGGAACATTTGAGTTGTTCCTTTAGTTGCATATTCATTCTGCAAACTAATAGTTACCCAATAATTGTGCACACATAGATTTTCTCCTAAGAGAAAAAAAACCCCTCATTTTTACTTTCTTAAATATTGAGGTTTGAGGTTCATTAACATTTTGGATTGACCGAAAGTTCTGTAGTTCTTCAATAATAAAATGAATCCTCAAAAATACAGCTCCCCTAATAATTGTGCATGTTGTGCACCGTCAAAAGTGTTGAGCCAGTCACGTTTCATGTTGTTGTTTGGTCATTCTTGTATTGTCTTTCACTTCCTGTTTTGTTTGGACACTCTCTTGTTACGTCTCATTCCAGGTTCCTTGACTCCCTACTCTAGTGTGTTTCTCCCGCGCTCATTAGCCCCAGCCCCTGATTGTTTTCACCTGTGCCCAGTTATCTCCTGTTTACATTCCCCAGTTTCCCTTTGTTTGTTGTCAGTTCGTCTTGTCCTGTCCTCATGCCAGAACTCTGCTCATCAGCGTGTGCTTGTTTGGTTACATGCTATATTCATGCTCCTGTAAACTTATTGTAAGTTTGTTCCTCACGTTGTGAGTGATTTTTTGTTATGCTATAGTGAAGCCTATTTTTTGTCGCCTCGTTAACCTGTTACGCACGGCCCCCCCCGGTACCGGGCGGATAAACGCGTCATTTGCAGGAAACAACGTCTAAGGAATCTTAATATTGAATAAAACTATGAATGTTTTATATCCATGTAACGGGAAGAAACTCAGCTAACTGATCTTTTTAATTTTTTTTTTCAAAAAAACCCCTCAATGCTAGCACTCAGCCTCTGAATTAGCCTCGAGCGAAAAAACGGAACCTACAAAGGCACTTAAACTCACTCATAACTCCCTTATTACTTATCCTAGATGCAAAACCAACCACTCGTTTTTGGTGTCCTGGAGACACTGAATCTAACGGTGCCCTCCTCAACACTCAGTGATAAACATTCGCGACGCTATAAACGAAAGCGTACATCATAACATGTGGAGCTAAGTAGCTAAAAACGCAAATATGGCTTACCTTGGTCAAAACTGGTCTTCAATGGCATTCAAACGATAAAAAAACGATGCTGCAGTTAATCCATAGGTTCATCCTATGTATCTGTGCCTTCTTTGAAATGATTTCTGATAATCCATAAGCAATAAAACGGATTTTTAGTTTCCAAACTCCAGAAGGAGAAAATCTGCAAAATGTGTTTCAGTTGTAAACGCGTAGCCCCCACCTTTTCTCTTTACAACGAGTGTGTGTGTGAGCCTCCCCCTTCGATTCTATTGGCTCTAACGGTCAGAAAGGTGTGTCAACGATCCCAATCGAGTAAGGGGGGCCAGAGATAGGTCAAATCCACCCAAATGACCCCAGAAGTGGGGGTTTTTGGCTAAATCTCTCTATAAAGGTCAAATTTCACTTGTTTTGCATCAATCTTGATACAGGGTACTTATTATATGTTGTACTTTGGATTCCTAAAGCTTTTAGTCTACTAACCCATCATCCAAAGGTAGTTTTCACTATCTGTAAAAAATAATTTTTGGACGGACACTATAATTTACAGTTTTTTACTATGTAAAATCTGAATTTTCTTTAAAATAAAAAACATTTATATTGATTCTGACACTTCTACATCCAACTCACAGGTTTATCATTACTTTGAGAAAAAAGATTATTAATTTAACCCTTTTAGAAGGGAAGATATGGTCATTTGTTCTGGGAATGTCATTTTCGAGCCTGAGACCTGAAAAACAGGCTCAGAGTGGAACAGGTTAAGAGTGCCGTTATCCTTTTGTATTTCCTATTTTTGCAAATAAAGCATATTACTTATACTTTATCTCTGGCTCCCGGGTCGTGCATTTGAGTCCTTTTTCCCTTGTGTATCCAAGTTTGTAACAGAGCACACAGTGTATGAGATCTGCAGCAGTAACAGAAAGTCAGTGAACTGACCTGAGGGTCTCCAGTCTGCAGTCTGGACTCTCCAGAAGATCTCTCAGCAGCTTCACTTCTGAATCCTTCAGCTTGTTCTGACTCAGGTCCAGATCTCTCAGACTGGAGGGTTCAGACTTCAGAGCTGAGGCCAGAGCAGAGCTGACCTCTGACAAACTGGAGCTCTCCAGTCTGAATAAAGAAAACATGATAATAAAAATCCAATTAAAATCAGATGTGTTGTCAGAACAAGTAAAGAAGCAGTGGTTACAATAAGAAAAACGCAAAGAGTCACATCCAATAGAAACATATCGATGCATTTATTTTAAATGTGAAGCAGTCAGTTTATCATTTTAGCAGCTCTGTTGAGCATTTTGAAAATGTTTTACAAGCCTCTGTGCAAGGCTTTGTCTTTCTATCTTTATAGGCAGAGGTGTAAAGTAACTAATGGCGCATTTCCACTGCACGGCCTCGCACGGCTAAGTACGGTATAGTTAGGCCTTGGTAGGCCAGGCTCACTTTATGCTGCGTTTCCATTACAGTTTAGTAACTATAGTAACGCAGTGTAGGCGGAGCCGTGACGTCATCTTCAATGCGAACCACAAAAACAACATCAGCCGTTAGCTGTTAGCACTCAGAGCTCACAGCTCCTCATATCTGTTCAGAAACTAGACAAAAGTTAAACAAGTACAAACCACAGACTGTCTGTGTCATGGCGAGTACAATCGCTGGTTTATTTATGTCTGTATAGGCCGTTGTTGTGAGTGTGGACGGTCGGAGCATATACTGCGTTAGCTTAGCTGATCTCCATTTAGAAAACACGCATTTTAAAAGGTTTTTCTCCTGCCGTCTGTCTGCAGACTTGACAAAGCATTAATTCATGGTTTTTACTAACCGGTATCAGTATGTTGTTACTTCGACATCATTTTGAAACGTGTATTACAATTAAATCACGGTCAAATATGTTCATTGTGTTATAGTTGTAGCCACTCACGTCACTAGTTTAGCATACTCAGCCCGGTTGTTGGCCCGGAAAGAACCTCGATTTTGGAGAGCCAGAAAAACTGTGAAAAAGTACCCGCTAGCCGGAACTACGCCGAGTGGAAACGCAACAAAAAATGGGCCAGGTTTGGCACGGCACGCTTAAACCGTGCTACGCGCTGCAGTGGAAATGCGCCATAAGTATATTTACTCAAGTACTGAACTTAAGTACAATTTAGAGGTACTTTTACTTTACTTGAGTATTTCCATGTTCTGCTACTTCATACTTCTCCTCCACTACAGTTCAGAGGTACATGGTGTACTTCTACTCCACTACATGTATTTAATACCTTTAGTTACTTCACAGATGTGGATGAATTATGTGAAATATAATCAAGTGTTAAATCAGACTTTAGTTCCACCTGGAGTAAATCCACAAGCTACCCTGCAGTATACAAAGTCATTCAAACTAGCTGCACCTTTACCAGCTTTGAGAACACTTTCATGATCAATCATGATAAAACATATCATATATATTATTCTGAAATGGACTAATCTGCACAACGACTACTTTTACTGTCGCTACTTTCACTATATTTTGATGATAATACTTTTCTACTTTTACTTGAGGAACATTTTGAATGCAGGACTTTCACTGAAACAGAGTATTCCTACACTCTGGTACTTCTACTTTTACTCAAGTACAAGATCTGAGTACTTCTACTTTTACTCAAGTACAAGATCTGAGTGCTTCTACTTTTACTCAAGTACAAGATCTGAGTACTTCTACTTTTACTCAAGTACAAGATCTGAGTACTTCTACTTTTACTCAAGAACAAGATCTGAGTACTTCTACTTTTACTCAAGTACAAGATCTGAGTACTTCTACTTTTACTCAAGTACAAGATCTGAGTGCTTCTACTTTTACTTAAGTACAAGATCTGAGTACTTCTACTTTTACTCAAGTACAAGATCTGAGTACTTCTACTTTTACTCAAGTACAAGATCTGAGTGCTTCTACTTTTACTCAAGTACAAGATCTGAGTACTTCTACTTTTACTCAAGTACAAGATCTGAGTACTTCTACTTTTACTGAAGTACAAGATCTGAGTACTTCTACTTTTACTCAAGTACAAGATCTGAGTACTTCTACTTTGACTAAGTACAAGACCTGAGTACTTCTAATTTTACTTAGAAGTACTCCTTCCACCTCTGTTTATAGCCTTAGCACAGGATCTAAAACACAGGACTATTGACATGTAAAAAATCTATTGGAAAACGAAGGATAAAGCTAACGTTAGGAATTAGTGACAATGTACGCTAGTTAGCCAGCTAAAGTATTAATAAAATAATATTAAGAAAGATAACTTCCCTAACAATCCCTGCACATCAGGCTCTCTGACAGTGAGCTCTGCTCTGAGTATCTGAGCGTCCCGTTCTAACAGCGCTCCGAGTTCACCAGCAGTTAGACCGTCATCCCGGAGCAGCGGAGTTTAGCCGACAGAGCCGACAGGAAGAGTGGAGCACACAGCTCAGGCACCATTACAAAATAACAACCTGCGCGTCATGATGGCAGAGAACAGCTCTCAGATTACTTGGGGTCCCGGACCCAGATTCTTTATGGATTCAAGTTATTAAAGTACATACATTAGGTTCAATTACAAACTGATCATATGAGATCTCCAGCAGTAACAGAGAGTCAGTGAACTGACCTGAGAGTCTCCAGTCTGCAGTCTGGACTCTCCAGAAGATCTCTCAGCAGCTTCACTCCTGAATCCTTCAGATTGTGGTTGAGACTCAGGTCCAGATCTCTCAGATGGGAGGGGTTGGACTTCAGAGCTGAGATCAGAGCAGAACAGCTGATCTCTGACAACCTGCAGCTCTCCAGTCTGAATAAAGAAAACATGATGTGGATCAAAAATGAATTTATAATCAGATGAGTTTCTCAACATTGAAATGAATGAGAACTAAAAAATCTGTCTCCTTCAGAAAGTAAACTTCATCATGTAAAACTAATATGACTTCAGATGACCTTTATTCAGACGTTATTGTTTACTAAATATTAAAAACACAGATTTACTTTTTACAAATAAAAGCTATTAAAGTTTCTTTAAGAAACAGACAATATTTATGTCTGCAGTTCTTCATTTAGTACGTACAGATGAAAACATGAATAAAAGGACATTTAAAGTAAATTCAGATTGAACATAGTAAAAAAATGTAAATTATAGTGTCCGTCCAAAAAAAAAAGATGACTTATAGTGAAAACCACCCTTAAATGATGGGATAGTAGACTAAAAGCTTTAGGAATCCAAACTATAACATATAATCCACATTTGTCACCGGAAGTTGGCTAGAGGGGACGCTGGCGTGTTTTTCTCCGCTCTTCTTGCCGACGCTTATTCCTCGTGTCTATCACTCCCTGCCGTCAATTATTTTTCGCATACACAGCGAAAAGAGTGTTCTGCTCTGGTTTTGTGTTTCTGCCGTCTCCATTGCTCAGCAGATTATGTTTGGCTGCTGTTTAGCTCCTAGCCTCTGCCGTCCTGCCATTAGCAAAACAAGCTCACCGTCGTGCTCTGCTATCCGACTGGGCTCCTCTCTGCCATCTCAACTGGGCTGTTTGCCATCACCGCTGCTGAGGTTCGAGGTCCGGTTTCTACCAGGCTAATGGTGCTAGCTGCTAGCTGGCTCGCTGTTCTTCCCACATGCCCCACCCCAGAACCTGCTGTCTTCAGACTCTGGTTCCCCGCACCAACCTGCGAACCTTCGGGGATAGAGCCTTCAGGATGTCAGCCCCCACTCTCTGGAACGCTCTCCCTGCGGAGATCCACAACATCCCCACGCTTGACGCCTTCATAGGGCCCTCAAGTCCCATCTGTCTGCCAAGGCCTTTGGCCCCTAATCTATTTGTTGTTTTGTCTTTTGTTTTTGTTATGTTTGTTTCTACTCCTGTTCTTCCTTGTAAAGCGACCTTGAGTCTCATGAAAGGCGCTATATAAATCCAAGTTATTATTATTATTATTATAATAAGTACCCTGTTTCAAGATTGATGCAAAACAAGTGACATTTGACCTTTTTAGAGAGGTTTAGAAAAAAAACCCACCTCTGGGGTCATTTGGGTGGATTTGCCGTTTCTCTGGAACCCATTGGTCAATTTTGGTGATTGACACCTCTTTTGAACCGTTAGAACCAATAGAATCGAAGGGGAGTTCCTAAATCTACCTACACGTTACCATTGAGGAGTGAGAGTGATGCACAGCCAGATGGCACAAAACCGGAAGCCCCGTTACACTATATATGAAAACTACGTTTATTGCCATAAATATGAAGATGGATTATCAGTAATCATTTCAAAGTGACACAGAGACATTGGATTAACCTCTGGATTAACCTTCAGCAGCTTTTATAAGCGTTTTAATGCCAATGAACACAACTTTTGATCAGAACAACAGCAAAGGTAAGACGTATTTGCCGTTTTGGCTCCGTAAAGTGAAGTTGTGTGTTATCTTTGCTGGTCTTCGCACAGTGATGAGACTTATACCATTGGAATCTGTGGAATCCCAGCTTTCATATGATATCTAGTTTCTGCAGATCCGATGAAGTATATCATATTTCTACCGTGAGTTATGTGCTAAGTGCGTTAGCACTCTTTCGCTTAGTGCTAATTCAGAGGCTCGGCTTTAGACTTTTTTTTTTTTTTTCTTTTTTTTTTTTAGCCTTTATTTATACAGGTGTAAAAAATCTCATTGAGACACAAGGTCTCATTTGCAAGAGAGACCTGTCAGTGGTAACACTACCACACAAAGTTACAGACAGACAGGACACTAAACACAGAGGCAACAATAAAATACAACATCGTAAAAAAAGTAGTCATTGAAATCCATATAAAGTAGCATATATATATAGATAGATATAGCAGGTGCAAACACCCACAGATGATTTCTCCAGCTTTTTTAAAATTAGTTTAAAATCCGTGATGGGTATCAAACTGGTGTTTTGTTTCGGTAAAAATGGTATCGTCAGGTAGCTGAGTTTCTTCCCGTTAAGTGGGTTTGACACATTCATAGTTTGTTAAATGTTAAGAAGCCCTCAGACGCTGTTTCTTGCAAGATGTTGCGGAAGCCCCCGGTACCGGGGGCTCCCAGGCCAGGTTAAGTGGGTGTGACACATTAATAGTTTGTTAAATGTTAAGAAGCCCTGAGACACAGTTTTGTGCAATATTGTTGTGTTTGCCCCGAGAGGTTAAAGGACATTTACTATTTGATGAATGCAAGTTATTCATTTACATAAATCAGGTTGAATAACTAATGAAACATGAGATCTGCAGCAGTAACAGAGAGTCAGTGAACTGACCTGAGAGTCTCCAGTCTGCAGTCTGGACTCTCCAGAAGATCTATCAGCAGCTCCACTCCTGAATCCTTCAGATCGTTGAGACTCAGGTCCAGAACTCTCAGATGGGAGGGGTTGGACTTCAGAGCTGAGATCAGGGCAGAACAGCTGATCTCTGACAAACTGCAGCCACTCAGTCTGAATAAAGAAAACATGATGTAACTTTAGAAAACAATGTTCCTGTTTGAAATAACTCCAGGTTTAATAATATGTTCAGAGCTAAACAGGGTTTTAATGTCAGAGATGATGCAGAAACAATCCATTGATAATCTGGAACTTTAACTTTGATCAGATGTTTAAAAACTCCTTCCTCTCCCTCACAGCTCATCAATACTGACAGCATCTCCACTGACTCATGGAGCACAGAGTGAGTCTGTGGAAGCTCAAACACTCTCCCTCACACATTCACCTTCTCTTTGTTATTCTGATGAATATTCAGTCATTAGCAAAAGTGGAAATTCACAAAATCATAAACACAAACAGATCCAGATAAAGTTCAGTCAGTGAACTGACCTGAGAGCCTCCAGTCTGCAGTTTGGACTCTTAAGTCCAGAACTCAGCAGCTCCACTCCTGAATCCTTCATCTCTCGGTTCTCACTCAGGTCCAGATCTCTCAGATGGGAGGGGTCAGACTTCAGAGCTGAGGCCACGACTTCACAGTCAGCCTCTGAGAGTTTACAGTCAGTAAGTCTATAATAACACAAATATTACAACATGTCTTTAAAAGAGGGAACATTATATTAACCTCAAGCATTTCATGAATACATATTTGACATACAGTATGTTCTGAATTATATTTGCTGATGCCATTTTATATTATATATACTGTAATAATATTAAATTATTATTATAACTGAGTTTAATGTGTGATCTGATCACATGTCTGTGTTGGCTACCTTATGCTGTCAGACACTGTTGCTAGATTGCTTCTCTGAGCATCTGAACATTTATTTTGAACACAAACACAATCAACAAACCAATAAGGTTTCAATCTTTTAAACTAATACCATCAGCAAGATGTTCTCAGTATATCAGCATTAAGACATAACTCTGGTATTGGTGGGAAATGATATAGATCTAATTTTAAACTCCAATACATTGTAATTAAAACCTCTGTGTTTAATGATAAAGAAACTGCTAGAAAGTAGTAGTGTTTATTTGAATAATTAAACTTCTGAGCCACATTAGTTTATAAAGTTAATCACATCTGGACTTACTTGGCCTTCCTGCAGTTCCTCACAGCTGGAATCAGTCTCCGTTTCCCCTCCTGTGATGTTTTGTACTTCTTCAGGTCAAACTCATCCAGAACCTCCTCTGACATCTGCAGCATGTCGGCGAGAGCAGAGCAGTGGATCTCAGAGAGTCTCTCCTTTGATCTGTTCTCTGACTTCAGGAACTCTGTGATCTCCTGATGTACTGAGTGGTCCTTCATCTCTGTCAGACAGTGGAAGATGTTGATGCTCCTGTCAGGAGAGATGTTATCACTTCTCATCTTCTTCAGGTTGCTGATGGCTCTCTGGATGATTTCTGGACGGTTGTCTGTGCGACCCAGCAGGCCTCCTAACTGGTTGGACTCCAGAGAGAGGCCGTGGAGAAAGCGGACAAACAGGTCCAGGTGGCCATTTCTGCTTCTGAGGGATTTGGCCATGACTCCTTTTAGAAAGACATCCAGGGATGGGTACTCCTGATCACTGTTTTTACTGTTCTTATAGGGCCAGTCTTTCTTCAGGAAGTCCTTCAGTACCGCTGTGTCTCTGTTGGTGTAACAGTGCAACATGTAGACTGCAGCCAGAAACTCCTGAATGCTCAGATGAACAAAGCAGTAGACTGTTTTCTTGAAGATCACACTCTCTCTTTTGAAGATCTTTGTACAAACTCCTGAGTGCACCAAGGCCTCGGTGACATCAAGACCACAGCGCTGCAGGTCTTCTTGGTAGAACATGATGTTTCCTTTCTCCAGATGTTCAAACGCCAGCCTCCCCAGCTTCAGAAGAACCTCCCTGTCAGCCTCCGTCAGCTGCTGTGGACTCGTCTCATGTCTCTCTTCATACTTCTGCTTCTTCCTCTTGGTCTGGACCAGCAGGAAGTGTGAGTACATGTCAGTGAGGGTCTTGGGCAGCTCTCCTCTCTGGTCTGTAGTCAACATGTGGTCCAGAACTGCAGCAGTGATCCAGCAGAAGACTGGGATCATACAGATGATGTGGAGGCTCCTGGAGCTCTTGATGTGAGAGATGATTCTGCTGGACAGGTCTTCATCACTCGATCTCCTCCTGAAGTACTCCTCCTTCTGGGCGTCAGTGAAGCCTCGTACTTCTGTTACCCTGTCCACACACTCAGGAGGGATCTGATTGGCCGCTGCAGGTCTGGAAGTTATCCAGACGAGAGCCGAGGGAAGCAGCTTTCCCCTGATGAGGTTTGTCAGCAGCACGTTGACTGAGGACTGCTGTGAGACATCAGACACAACCTCATTGTTTCTGAAGTCCAGAGAAAGTCTGCTTTCATCCAGGCCGTCAAAGATGAGCAGCACTTTGCAGACAGCCAGCTGCTCTGCTGTGACCTTCTGTAAGGTTGGATGGAAAACATGGAGCAGCTTGAGAAGACTGTACTGCTCAACTTTGATCAGGTTCAGCTCCCTGAAGGAGAGCGGGATCACCAGACTGACATCTTGGTTTTCCAAACCCTCGGCCCAGTCCAGAGTGAACTTCTGCACTGAGAAGGTTTTTCCAACTCCAGCGACTCCGTTGGTCAGGACCGTTCTGATGTGAGTCTGTTGGTCAGGTAAGGCTTTAAAGATGTCCTGGCACTTGATTCGAGTTTCATGGAGGGTCACTTTCTTGGAAGCTGTCTCCAGCTGCCTCACCTCATGTTGGGTATTAACCTCTTCACTCTGTCCTTGTGTGATGTAGAGCTCAGTGTAGATCCTGTTGAGGAGGGTTTCATCAGTTCCTTCAGTCACACGTTCACATCTCCTCCTCAGACTGAGCCGATGTTCATCTAAAACCTCCTGCAGACCACTATCTGCTGATAGAGAAGAAACAGGAGAGAATAAGAAAATGCTTTTGAGAATCTTAACAACAAAAAACAGACAGAGTTGAAAAAGTTATGATTTGTATAATACAGCTTACTGTCTATGCACTACAACAGTATGCCTGATCAAAAACAAATAAATCAGGAAGAATCCTGGACATGAAGACAAGGATCCTAGCCATCAGATATCTTTACTATCTTCTGTAGAAGTTCTTTGCAAGGCTAACGTTCCCCTTTAGATCTGTCCAGTGTTTCTTCTGAGGAAAACACTGCTGTCTGTTTTAAAACACTTAAACAATGCCTGGAAGAAGATCAGAGGACACACTGAGCCAATGAGAGTTCATACAAGAGTAGAGACCCAGCGCCCCGACGGCCTAAAGGCGCTGCATGTGTTCGGCCTCTTACCTCGTACAGAGCTGGTCTGACTGGCTGTCTGCAGGCCAGCTCTGGTTCTGGATCTCTTTCCACACTGGGGACAGGAGGGGTCTCCTGATGGAGGTCTCTGCTCCCAGTATGAGGTGATGCACTGTCTGCAGAACCAGTGTCCACAGCTGGTAGAGACTGGATCCTTCAGGACGTCCTGACACAGAGCACAGCTGGACAGCTGCTGCCCCACAGGAACACCACTCTTCCTCTTCCCTCTGTGGAGATCAACACATCCTTTACAGCAGTGGGTCCCAACCCCCCTTGGGGGGGCGCCAAAGATCGCAGGGGGTGCGCCAGGCCTCAGATGATTTGAGGCCAAATATCATATTTAGACTTTTCTTCTTTTTTATTTTTACATATAATTGTAACGCAATACATGATTGTCACTAAAAGCCTTGTCTCTACATTACAATAACATATACAAAATAATTGATTAATTAATTTGAATAAAGATTCAAGTTAGTAGCTATTATAGGCATAACAAGACAGACATGTATAATTCTTTCTTTGATAGAAATGTTTCTTCTGCCCGTAAAGTGTCCAAACCAGGCTTTTCTGGATAAGCGCATTTTTTAAACATAGTCATTGTCCATGCCGGTTTCAGATTATTTGTCACAGTTGCTCCGATCAGATCGGTCTCCTCCATTTTGTAGATTATTTACGACTTTTGAATCCACATAAACACATCGGCAAAATCCGGCTTACTTTGAGCATGTGTTTTAAACAGTTGAATCCCTTTGTGAATTGTTTCCACTTGCGCCGTCCTTTCATTTCTTCATACAGCGGGAATCCAAATGAATGAATCCTGAGTCCAATAACCATCAAAGTCACTTTCATCCTCCTTTAACAACATACTTCACATTCATCCAGTTTGAGACTTTTAAACTTTAATTACCGCTGTTGCGCCCCCCCCCCCCTTGCGTGTGTGTGTGTATGTGGGGGGGGGGGGCGCAACTTCGAACAGGAGTCATTTGGGGGGGCTCTTGGGAAAAAAGGTTGGGAACCCCTGCTTTACAGCACTTTACTTTAGAGGACATGATTCTCACCAAAGGTTCAACAAGGGGGCAAATTCTAGTTTGATATTAGAGAAAAGGTCTATATCTGTATATACAACACATTCTCACTCCCAACTCGGCCTATGTTGACGTTATGTCAGGGTCCCTGTCGTCACTTTCCAACGCAAGGGGGGGCCCTTTAGCGTCGAGTTTCAACTTTCGGCGATGTCCATAGACTTCTATAGAGCTCCCTAAACGTATGTAGTAGACGACTTGAGATCGCGAGCGAATGCTCCCCGCTGCGTTGAAATTCAACGGCAGCGGCCGGTTCTCTGATGAAGCATACGATGCGAGACTGCGTTGCATTAAAAACATTATGCTCTCTATATATTGTCTTTATTATGCTTTAAACGTTATGTCAGGATCTCTTGGCGTCACTATCAAACGCTGGTAATAGACGAGTTGGGATCGCGTAGAAATGCTCTCCGCAGATCCATTCTCACAGCGTTTATCAACCTTTTTCTGACTCAATATCAAGCCACACTTATTGTTTTGACTTCTTTATTTTAATTGAATAATGTCGGACTTCTGTTGCTGTCAGTTAGGGGGAGAGTAGGGGCTCAGAAAACTGAAATCTGTATTGTTTCATCGTTTCCTTCTAATTTTGTATTCTTTTCTAAACCACACTGTTATTTACTCAACAATAAGACACTATTATCCTTGTGTTTATTTATTTGTGTGATTGTATAATGTTGGACTTTTGGAGTCCGTCAGAACCGAGGGTCGGAGCAGCTCATTCGAACTTTGCTGAGCCACGGAAACTGCATTCAGTAGAAGCTTCTGAATGCGGCACTTCACGTCCTCCGAGTAAATCGCCAGAAGCGGGTCGGACGAACTAATTTGAGCTACTTTAGTCCCTGGGGCTTTTTGGTGTGAACGCAAATATATCGTAGTTCTGATGAACTATTGTGGGAAAAGTACTCCAAAGTACTCCGGTGTGAACGCGCCTAATGTAAAGTCCTTTTCCTGCACCATTTGAAGGCTTCAAAACAGGCATTTTTACTGTATGTGTTTGGAGAAATAACACAATCAATGGCCCAGAATTGTACTTTGAAAACTATGAATCTTAGTGCTTGAAGAAATACAGACTGGCTAAGCCTAAGATAACATAAAAACTGAATCCTCTTCAGGTCAGTTTACAGCAGAAACTCTTACTTTGTGTCTGAGGGTCCAGGTTCATTACTGAAGTATAGAGGTGGACTCATAGACCGGACACTCCTCAGACAGCTGGAGACTGGAGACTCGTCCTCTTCCTCATCTTCTAAATCACTCATCTTCTTCAGTCTGAGAGATAAACCATTAACACACACACACACACACACACACACACACACACACACACACACACACACACACACACACACACACACACACACACACACACACACACACACACACACACACACACACACACACACACACACACACACACACACACACACACACACACACACACACACACACACACACACACACACAGTTAAAGAACATCAAATCAGTCAGACTTCAGACAGGCCGCTCTCCATCTTGACTGCGCTGAAAGTACAATCTCTCAGCGGGCACTAAAAATGGGGGTAAAAGTTCCCGAGATTAAGTGCTCTTTTTGACCGCGGTGAAGTTAGTTTTAGGTTGGATATTCGACGGACATTCGCGGACCAGCCAGCAGCGTCAGTTTCCCCTGCTTCTGGCTGTATTACGACGGGGAGATCTTCTGCGCGAAACGAGGCTTTCACTTAGGGACCATCAACAAATGACTTTTCAATTACACAAGAAAAATGTTCTTTTTAATAAATCGACAGCTTCTCGATCGTGTGAATGTGAAGCAAATTCACTCTAGAGCATACATTTATTGAACACACCTCTTTTTATTGCATTTTAATACTTTAAATATTTTTATATTAATATTTTGATAAAGATTTGCTTATTTCTTAAATACCTTCCAGGTTATGTGACCTAATCCCTCAAAATCAGTGCTGGGTCAAAGAACTACACTGGCTGCATAGGACACACCTCTTTTTATTCCATTTTAATACTTTAAATATTTTATATTAATCTTTTGATGGAAAAATGAGCATATTGCTTCAATACCTTTCAGGTCATGTGACCTAATCACTCAAAATCAGTGCTGGGTCAAATAACTACACTTTCTGCCAGGATAACAACCTCCATCTCAACGTCAGCAAAACCAAAGAGCTGATTGTGGACTACATGAAGCAGCAGAGAGAAGGTCACGCCCCCATCGCCATCAATGGGACTACGGTGGAGAGAGTCAGCAGCTTCAGGTTCCTTGGGTTCCACATCACTGAGGACCTGACATGACTCTTCACATCACCACCATCACCAAAAAAGCTCGACAGCGGCTCTTCTTCCTCCGCAGGCTGAGGAGGTTCAACATGGACTCCAGGATACTCTGCAACTTCTACAGGTGCACCATAGAGAGAATCCTGATCTTCTACAGGTGCACCATAGAGAGCATCCTGACCTTCTACAGGTGCACCATAGAGAGCATCCTGACCTTCTACAGGTGCACCATAGAGAGCATCCTGACCTTCTACAGGTGCACCATAGAGAGGATCCTGATCTTCTACAGGTGCACCATAGAGAGGATCCTGACCTTCTACAGGTGCACCATAGAGAGCATCCTGACTGGCTGCTTCACGGCCTGGTACGGCAGCTGCACCGCCCTCAACCGTAAGGCTTTACAGAGGGGGGTGAAAACTGCACAGAACATCACCAGGACGGAGCTGCCATCCATGGAGGACCTTTACTCCCAGCGGCTCAGGAAGAAAGCCCTCAGGATTATCAAAGACCCCCATCACCCCAGCCACAAACTGTTCTGTCTGCTGCCGTCTGGCAGGCGTTACCGGAGCATCCGGACTAAAACCACCAGACTCAGGGACAGTTTCATACCACAGGCAATAAGACTGCTAAACAACTGAACTGCTGAAACAACATCTGTTAAACACCCGAACTGTTGAAACAACATCCATAACATTCATCTGCTACTTAGTAATTATTTATCTATTTCTCTAATATATCATTCCAATAACTTGCATATAGACTCTTATTGCACTATTTCACTTTTTTAAACTATTTTTCTTTTTGTATTTACTATTTACTTGCACTATATTTTTCTGTTTATCTGTGTTATTGTGTTGCACTGTTGGAGAAGCCTGTGAGCTAAGATTTTCATCGTCATAACTACACTGTAGCTATGTTCGTATGACAAATAAAAACCTTGAACCTTGATTAATGAATTAAAGTACGTCTTTTTTTTGTAACTAGCTGATGCTCAATCTAATCCTGTTCTTCAAAGTCACTGTCAGACTCAGAATTCTCTGAAATGTGATCCTCGCATTCTGAAACACCTTCCTCTTCCTCTACATCATCATCAAATGGTTCTCTCTCTTCCAAAATCATTTGCAAGGCCCTCTGAGCAGAGAATCATTTGGCCATCTTGATCAGTTGTGATAAGACACACACACACACACACAATTTCCACACTTGTGTTAGCCCCGAACATCCTGTATCTAATATAAATGTGTAGGGGGGGGTGTACAGTGGGTGGTCATTGAAAATGTGTTCTGATATATGTTCTTCACAGAAAATTAGCCAACGCCATTGAGTGTGAGTTTGAACAAATAATGTATCATATCATTTTTCTTTAGATAAATAATGAAACACTATACAAGGGTTAATATTAATACATTTTTGTATGGAAAATTCTGTTTATTTTTTCAATAGCTTCTCTGTCATGTGACCGAATGTCACACTCAGTATTGTAGAAAGGAAAAAATAGTGGCAAATAAATGAAGTGGGAATTAAAACAAGTATGTATCTGAACTAAAAGTACTACAATTACCTATAAATGTACACAGATGGTTCTAAGAACAAAGAAGAGTGTGTTGGAGTTGGTATATACATCCCAGAATTTAAAATATCTATCTCAAAAAGAGCGTCTGATCAATTATCAGTGTATACAGCAGAAATGCTTGCTGTAATAATAGGATTACAGTGGGTTGAAGAGGTCAGACCAGATAGGGTGGTGATATGCACAGATTCATTGTCCATATTAAAAAGCACAGATTCATTGTCCATATTAAAAAGCATACAGTCAACAATAATATTATCCGATATAAAGAGCTGTTTCTATTGTGTACAGACTAGTATTCAATTCAGAAAGTGATTTTGAGTCATTAGATATTGAAGAAATAAGCTAAGCTAAGCTAATAAGCTAATTTGCAATAAAAAGAGGTGTGTCCTATGCAACCAGTGTAGTTCTTTGAGCCAGCATTGATTTTGAGTGATTAGGTCACATGACCTGGAAGGTATAGAAGCAATATGCTCATTTTTCCATCAAAAATATTAATATAAAAATATTTAGAGAATTAAAATGGAATAAAAAGAGGTGTGTCCTATGCAGCCAGTGTAGTTATTTGACCCAGCATTGATTTTGAGTGATTAGGTCACATGACCTGGAAGGTATTGAAGAAATAAGCTAATTTTTCCATCAAAATATTAATATAAAATATTTAAAGTATTAAAATGCAATAAAAAGAGGTGTGTTCAATAAATGTATGCTCTAGAGTGAATTTGCTTCACATTCACACGATCGAGAAGCTGTCGATTTATTAAAAAGAACATTTTTCTTGTGTAATTGAAAAGTCATTTGTTGATGGTCCCTAAGTGAAAGCCTCGTTTCGCGCAGAAGATCTCCCCGTCGTAATACAGCCAGAAGCAGGGGAAACTGACGCTGCTGGCTGGTCCGCGAATGTCCGTCGAATATCCAACCTAAAACTAACTTCACCGCGGTAAAAGACCGGTGAAAAGTACTCCGGTGTGAACGCGGCTGTTGGACTCTAGGACGCTGATGTTCTGACATCCAGTTTAACAGAGTAAATAATGAATGTGTTAGAAAGCAGATCCTGTTAACACTCACCCTGTTGTTCTCCTCCTGCTCCGTCCAGCTGTGAAATGGCGCCTGGCAGTCTGACCAACTTCCTTCCCTTCCTGTCAGACTGTAGTTCCTCAGAGCTTCCGATTCGGCAGTTAAGGGGAAAGTTAAGGGACATTTAATTTACAGCGCTGAGCGAACAATCCTCCGTGTTTGAACCTCTTAAATCGCTACATAGACGATTTATTTGGACTGGATTATCCCAGAGAGGCTAAACATTCTTTATAACACAGTTTGAGATTTGTGAAACCTTAATTCTATTTGTGAAAATTAAAAAAAGGGAGATTTCAGTGCTTTTTTCGCATCTAGACCACATTAGACCAGGTCCTATCTAAAACCCTAAAAATCTAAAAATGTTTGGTTTTTGTGACCAGTTAGACTCATTAAGGCCATTGTTTCCCTTTATAAGTGCACTACGGAAGTGGATTGGAGTCTTTCAGAGCCTGTCACAGTTCCAGATCATACCAGTGTAAAGCTATATGTACATTAGTAATCATAGTTTTTCTATGTCAAAAAAAGTATAAACAGCATGCAACAATATCAAAACTTGCTAAACATGCTCACTTTATTATATTTGTGTTGCAAAGGTCATGCCACAGTCTGACAAGCATAACTTGTTTAAGAGCTGTATGGAGTGTATATGTGTGTTGTAATTGCATGTGGGGCCAGCAGAGGGAGCTGCTGGCCTGATACTCAGCATCATTGTCAGCAGTCATGATTTTTTGAAAAAGTCATAATTTTGGGAACAATTTCAGGATTTTGAGAAAAAGTCAGAATTTTAAGAAAAAGTCATGATTTTGAGAAAAAGTCATAATTTTTAGAAAAAGTCATAATTTTGGGAAAAAGTCATAATTTTGAGAAAAAGTCATAATTTTGAGATTTTTTGAAAAAGTCATAATTTTGAGAAAAAGTCATAATTTTGAGAAAAAGTCATAATTTTGAGAAAAAGTCATAATTTTAAGAAAAAGTCATGATTTTTAGAAAAAGTCATAATTTTGGGAAAAAGTCATAATTTTTAGAAAAAGTCATAATTTTGGGAAAAAGTCATAATTTTGAGATTTTGAGAAAAAGTCATATTTCGAAAAAGTCATGATTTTTTGAAAAAGTCATAATTTTGGGAACAATTTCAGGATTTTGAGAAAAAGTCAGAATTTTAAGAAAAAGTCATGATTTTGAGAAAAAGTCATAATATTTAGAAAAAGACATGATTTTTAGAAAAAGTCATAATTTTGGGAAAAAGTCATAATTTTGAGAAAAAGTCATAATTTTGAGAAAAAGTCATAATTTTGAGATTTTTTGAAAAAGTCATAATTTTGAGAAAGTCATAATTTTGAGAAAAAGTCATAATTTTGAGAAAAAGTCATAATTTTAAGAAAAAGTCATGATTTTTAGAAAAAGTCATAATTTTGGGAAAAAGTCATAATTTTTAGAAAAAGTCATAATTTTGGGAAAAAGTCATAATTTTGAGATTTTGAGAAAAAGTCATATTTCATGATTTTTTGAAAAAGTCATAATTTTGGGAACAATTTCAGGATTTTGAGAAAAAGTCAGAATTTTAAGAAAAAGTCATGATTTTGAGAAAAAGTCATAATATTTAGAAAAAGTCATGATTTTTAGAAAAAGTCATAATTTTGGGAAAAAGTCATAATTTTGAGAAAAAGTCATAATTTTGAGAAAAAGTCATAATTTTGAGAAAAAGTCATAATTTTGAGAAAAAGTCATAATTTTAAGAAAAAGTCATGATTTTTAGAAAAAGTCATAATTTTGGGAAAAAGTCATAATTTTTAGAAAAAGTCATAATTTTGAGATTTTGAGAAAAAGTCATATTTCGAAAAAGTCATTTCAGGATTTTGAGAAAAAGTCATAATTTTGGGGGAAAAAATTGGATTTGGTGAAAAAGCCAGAATTTGAGAAAAAGTCAGAATGTTTAGATTTCTAGAAAAAGTCATAATTTTGAGATTTTTAGAAAAGGTCAGAATTTTTGAAAAAGTCATATTTAGAAAAAGTCATGATTTTTAGAAAAGGTCAGAATTTTTTTATTTTTTGAAAAAGTCATGATTTTTTGAAAAAGTCATATTTAGAAAAAGTCATGATTTTTAGAAAAAGTAATAATTTTGGGAAAAAGTCATAATTTTGAGAAAAAGTCATAATTTTGAGATTTTGAGAAAAAGTCATATTTTGAAAAAGTCATATTTTGAAAAAGTCATGATTTTTAGAAAAAGTCATGATTTTTAGAAAAAGTCATGATTTCTTAGAAAAAGTCATAATTTTGGGAAAAAGTCATAATGTGGTGAATTAGGTTTCAGTTCATAGTTGACGTCATCTTGTGTTTTGTGGGTTGTACAGCATTAGCGACAAACCGACCACGGTAAGCTCCGCCCAGAAACACATCCGCAAAGGGGCGTGGCCAGCAGCAGCTCATTAGCATCTAAAGCTACAGACACAAGAGGCTTCTCAATACTCTCATTTCCCCTCCTCGACTCCCCTCCTCGACTCCTATCCTCGAGACTTAGTCCCGCCCACAGGAGATCCGAGCGGAGGACTCGAGGAGGGGAACCAAGGAGAGAGGAGGTGAAGCAGCAGGCGGTTAGAGAAATGAGAACTCCTCTCCTCTGAGCGGTCATTTTTAAGAGACGTCCATTAATGATGACAGGAGGCACAGCAGCCCTCTGTCTGATGGACAGATGTGTTCATGACCACTTATATATTTACTTTGATTCATTCACAGTGCGGTATAATTAAGCAATAGCTCACGACAGGCCGTGGTATATGCTCATTATATCACAGCTAAGGGGCGTGGTTCGGCCCGACGCGAAGCGGTCGACAACTGCAGGCAGTTTGCTTTTCAGCCCAACTGTATACAGTTTTTCTCAGACGCGGAGGGATACTGAGTTGTTGTGAAAAGTAACTTACAATTCTACCCGTGGTATACGCTCAGTATACCACGGCTAAGAACCAATCAGATTGCTTGATTTTACTTGTCCGTTTTATAATGAGACAATAACAGGCTACAGATGCAGACACACACACACACATATATTTATATATATACAATTTAAAGTATGAGAGCACTCTCATAATAACGTAACACAATCAGAGACTGGATATATCCCCCCCCCCCCCCCCCCCCTCTCTCTGGTCGCTGAAATGGGGAATTGAAATTACGGGCCAAAAGTTGTATTTACAAGTATTAAAAGTAAGCAGAGGACACCAAACCAACTAAGACCTGTCTGTCTGCTGCATCTACGCACTGTACAACACACACCAGACTTCATATAGATCCTCTGTGCACACAGACGCTAAAGGACAAAGGTAGGAGTACTGACTATAAACACTAATATTAATGTGAACTCTCCTCGTCTTCAGCGCTCCTAACGGCGACTACAGCGCCGCTGCGTTACAGTCGGTGAAGGACGAGGTCTTCATCAACATCTTCGATGAGGTGGTTTATGAAACCGGAGGGGTGAGTCCAGCATAAGGTCCATCAGAACATCGTCCTTTCACTGGACCGTTAGAGGGGCTTTACCACCTCGTTCACACATGAACACACCTCAATGTATGAAGGCAGAGTCCCCCCGCACACCCTCCATATGCATTCAGTGAGGGATCAGATATCATTCCTATAAGTGCTTTGAGGGTCTTTTCCTTTGGGATTTTATGGAGACACCAAAAGTATGATACTAATAATATACGCCTCGTCTTTATCTGACACCAGCTTTAAAGACATGCAGGAGAACCAGCTGTTCTCTATTTGAAATGTTGAGGAGGAATCTGAAGCTTTGAATGAAGCTGCTGAATAATTCTCCCTCTGTCCTCAGACTGACAGAGACAGAGGGAAGTCCATCCACACCCGCATGGAGAAGCACTGGCTGGGGTCCGTGAAGATCCCTTTCAGCACCATCTACTCCCAGAGCAGGGTGAGAGGACTCTTTAAAGTGGAGACACTACACACTGATACACACCTGAACATCAGCAGGAGAGGACTCTTTAAAGTAGAGACACTACATACTGATATACATCTGAACATCAGCAGGAGAGGACTCTTTAAAGTAGAGACACTACCTACTGATATACACCTGAACATCAGTAGGAGAGGACTCTTTAAAGTAGAGACACTACACACTGATACACACCTGAACATCAGCAGGAGAGGACTCTTTAAAGTGGAGACACTACATACTGATATACACCTGAACATCAGTAGGAGAGGACTCTTTAAAGTAGAGACACTACATACTGATATACACCTGAACATCAGCAGGAGAGGACTCTTTAAAGTAGAGACACTACATACTGATATACACCTGAACATCAGCAGGAGAGGACTCTTTAAAGTAGAGACACTACATACTGATATACACCTGAACATCAGCAGGAGAGAACTCTTTAAAGTAGAGACACTACATACTGATATACACCTGGGGCCTCATTTATAACGCCTTGCGTAGGATTCACGTGGGAAGGTTGCTTACGTAGTACAAAGCAAAAAAATAGGTACAGACATTTTCCGATTCATAAAACATTGCGTACCGAAATGTGGCGCAGCTTTTGCAAGCTTCACGTAACGCCCATATAGACCTAGACTCATCAAATCTGGACTGGATTATCCCAGAGAGGCTCAACATTCTTTATAACACCGTTTGAGATTTGTGAAACCTTTATTCTATTTGTGAAAATACAAAAAAGTGAGATTTCAGTGCTTTTTTCTCATTGTCTTGTCTTCCCCTGCTCCATGTCTGTTCGTCTGCGTCTATGATACCTGTTAGTCTCTTTGCTCTCGTCCATGCTACCTGTCACGCTCCATGTTTGTTCCTGAGGTCTTTTGTCCTGATCCTTCCTCGTACTCCCCAGATTTTGGTATGTTGAGTTGTTCCTTGTTTTCTTTTGTCATTCAGCTTTGGGAAATAAAGCTCGCTTTTTGTTACCTGACCTTTTAGTCCTTTTACTGCATTTGGGTCCTATTTTCCCCTGACACTGAGTCTGCTTCAAATTCACTTATTATCCTCACAGGATCATTTTATTAAAGTTCAAGCTAAACTTACTAAAGCATTCTAACTGTTTATGCTTTAACAGCAATTC